AAAAATAAAAATCTAAACGTACTGTAAAAATAAAGGGTAATATAATTACTTTCAATGCATGGAAATGGTTCCATCTTAGGAAAAAAAAGTGGGGTAAGCTTAGCATATGATGGGCATCTTTGAGGAATTCCAGAGCCTGGAAGAATAAGCTCTTTTTAAAAACTAAACTAAATTTATTGGGGTGACACTGGTTAATAACATTATATGAGTTTCAGGTGTACAATTCTATAACACATTATCTGTATAGTCCATTGTATGTTCACCACCTGCTGTCTAGTCTTTTTCCATGACGATATTATTTGACCCCTTTTACCCTCGTCAGCTTCTTCCCCACTCCCCTTCACCTCCAAGAAAGGGCTAATATCGAAAATAAACTCTTAAAAACAGGATCTTTTGATAGAAAAATGGAAACAGGATTGATAATTGGGGTTGGACAATACTATCACTTCTTTCTCTACAGCAGTTTTGCTTAAACATTTTACAGTGATTTAAAAAAAACGACTGTATTGTGCAATCCACAAAACTATTCTGAAAAAGTAGAGAAATATTATAAAAAAGAAAATAAAGAAGCCAGGTTTAGTTAAATAAAAAAAATATTAATTTATATTCCTTGATTTTGACCAAAGGTCCTGAAGACTCTACATAATGATGAACAACTTTTTGTCCACAAATAAGTCAAAAGTTTCTTTATGTCCAAATAATGAGTCAATTTAGTTGTACACCTGAAACTAATATAATATTGTATGTCAGCTATAACTGAAAAATAAATTTTTAAAAATTGAAGAGCAAAAAAAAGGAATTAGTCAATTTAGTGATACAAAGATTAATGAAAGAATATCACATTATAACACTATACAGTATATTGGTACAACTGAAATAACACTATACAGTATATTGGTACAACTGAAATGCTGTATATCACCTGTATTTTTTAAACAATATTTCTACATTTGAGAGACCTGAGATTTGAAGTAAGATTTAAAACCTGAACAACCATGTTCATCACATACCTTAATAGCACTCCATGACTGGGCAGTTAGGAAGTCAACAGGGCTCAGGTAAGTGTGTTCAACTGTGAATCGAAGCAGGAAATCCAATTCAACAGGGTCTATCTCTTTCTTTCTTAACAAAATCTTGAGAGTATACAAAATTGAAAAGGGTCATTTGGTTTACATCACAATCACGACACAGGATGCAGTCACCACTTAATAGATATTACTGAATAGGCAGAATCAAGTTTTCTGAAAATTCCTATAGATATATATCTGCTCTATAGATGAAATAAAGAACCTTAGATTATGCCCGTGATCTCAAAACCCTGATCAGAAATCTAACAGCAAATAACGAGGAAGTCTAGTTTATTCCAGTTTTGACACCTCTGCCTATTGGCAACATATTTGCAATATACTTTCCTATGTAGTCTAAATCTACTGTTCTTAGATCAAACATCTTAAAACCTGCTATAGAAATTGAGAAAGTCGCAGAGGACAAAGGACGGAATCACTAAACAGAAGGTAGAGCTAGTACTATAAGTTAGTCATGGTATAGAAATTATATCCAATATGCCATGAGATGTATGAAAGATTTTTCTTATATGTGACAATATATTAAGAAAAACCTGAAATTGTTTTACAGGTGCAACTAAACAAACACATCATGAACTGGAACAAACGACACATTCTGATGACTGAACTGATAAGACGCCCATAGAACATTTTGGGGGGCACAAATGAAATATTCCCAATTTCCACATAAAAACAATAATGCCTTACAAAGTTAAAATGGTAAAATGCTTGTGTTTTAAGTTATTTTTAAATTCTAGATTTTTTTCAAAATACATTATGGGCGGTAACATGCATTAAAATATTATTATTTTACTGGATAATTAACCTTTCTTAATTCAACTTAATTTGTTTTAACAAACAAGAAATTGTCCACATATACATGAAGCTCTGAATTATATAGATTGTCAGGATTTGAGATAGGTTATAATTTACGGCTTCCTAGTGGAAGTTTTAAATAGATCTGCATGCATGTGCGTACATGTCATGTGCTATCATCCCTGGTCTATTACTGTTCATGAATAACATATACAAACACAAAAATTTCAGTAAAAAAATCCAATTAAAAAATGGGCAGAAAAACTGAATAGACATATTTCCAAAGAAGACATAAAGATGGCAAACAAGTACATGAATTGGTGCTCAACATCACTAGTCATCAAAGAAATGCAAATCGAAACTACAATAAGATACCATTTCATACCTTTTAGGATGGTTATTAGCAAAAATACAAGAGATAACAAATGCTGGTGAGGATGTGAAGAAAAGGGAACCCTTGTGCACTGTTGGTGTGAATATAAATTGGTGCAGCTGCTATGAAAAAGAGTATGGCAGTTCCTCAAAAAAATTAAAAGTAGAACTACCACAGGGTCCAGTAATTCCACTTCTGAGTATATATCCAAAGAAAATGAAAGCACTATCTCAAAAAGATATCTGAACTCCCACATTCACTGCAGCATTATTTACAATAGCCAAGATATGGAAACAACCTTAGGTGTCCATTGATGGATGAATGAATAAAGAAAATGTGGTGTACATGTATACACACACACACACACACACATTTACACATACATACATATATACACAGTGGAATATTATTCAACCACAAAAAGGTAATCCCTCCATTGTGACAACATGGATGTATCTTGAGGGCCTTATGCTAAGTGAAATAAGTCAGACAAAGAAAGACAAATACTGTCTGATCTCTCTTATATGTGGAATCTAAAAAAAGTTGAACTCATAGAAACAGAGAACACATTGGTAGTTGCTAGAGGTTGGGGAGGGGTGAAAGGGTAACGGCGGTCAAAAGGTGTAAACTTCCATTTATAAGATAAATCCTGGGGATGCAATCTACAGCATGGTAACTATAGTTAACAATACTGTATTATATGCTCAAAAGTTGATGAAAGAGTGAATATTAAAAGTTCTCACCATATAAAAAAATTGTAACTATGTGAGGTGATAGATGTCAACTAAATTTATTATGGTAATCATTTCATTATACATACATATATCATATCATTACATTGTATACCTTGGACTAATAAAATGTTATATGTAGATTATACCTCAATAAAAAGGGGAAACATTTAAAACAAAATATTTGTTTTTATGGTGCACTGTTCCTGTTTATCACATACATTATAAAATGTCTACACCCATATATTTTATATAACCCAAAGGAAAATATGAATACTAAAAATATGGATAGTTTATCATTATTAACAGCAGGCATTTATAAATGCCTTCTTTGAGTGAGTGAGGCATTTTGGAGGACACAAAAAGATAAGACATCTTTCATCAAGATTTGGATTGACAGCAAAAGTTATACAGCGAAAGATCTAATAAAAAAAAGGACAACGTGCTTATTTCATTTAGAAACGTGGTCCTCAATGTTTTTTTCTTAGCAGGGGCACCTTTATTTAAACAAAATCTTTTGCAGAAGCCTATATCAAAAAGAATAAAAGTGTAGTAGGCCTCATTGAAGAGAGTGTGAAACTTGGAGGTCTTTTTACCCAAATTCATTGTTTTTTTAAAGGGGCTCCAAGAGAGTCCTAGGACCACTCATATCTGGATTCATAATTCTGATGTCAAAGAATCTCCCTGGTACTACCTAGGAGGTTCTGTACAGGACCTGAAAAGGTGAGGAGAGTATCTCTCAGGTATGTTTTTCAGGGTGACAGCTGAGGTAGTTGCTCCAGTTCTTACCCACCCAAACCAAGTTACTGCGACTGACTAGGAGGTTGTCATATGCCTCAGTTCCCTGTGGGACACTCGAACTCTCCTCATGCCACCAAGGGCTTCCAAAAAAGCAGTCTATGCTTCCCTTCAGCAGAAATAAAGTACGTAATAAACAGAGATGTGTGACTTTGGTTCTGGGGGTGCTTCCAAGGGACTGATTTCCTCACCTGAAAAGCCATCTGGGACAGGAAGGTGAGCTTGTCCCTCTCGAACAGTGCCTGGCTGGTGTAGAGGAAGGTGGCGTGGGTGATGCTCTCCATCAGGATTGAGATGCGCCCCTGTGTGTCCTCCACCTCGTCAGCCTGCTTGATTGCTCTGTGGAACAGCACGTTGAAAGCCTGGGGAATTTACAGTGACTGTTAAAGGGCAAACTGATGCCTGGATGTCTAGCTAGCCCCTGACACACAGGGCTACAGTTTAAGGTTTATCTATGAGGAAAGAGAAAAGGACAGGACTTTTAGGAGAATTATATGAGCTCTTAGAACAGTTCCTGGCACATAGTAAATGCTCATTAAATGTTTGCTGCCATTACTATTAACACCAGTCCATAAAATCTACCCACATCTCTTCCCTAGCCAACCATGAATCACACCATACATTTATCTGATAACTGTTGAGCATTTAAAAAATGTGCGTATGGGCAATATGCATGTCTTGGTATATGACATGTCTGTTCAAACCTTTTATCTACTTTTTTTAAAAGATTTTTTATTGGGGAATTGGGGTAGGGGAACAGACAAGTTGCTGTCCTTTTGTTCTTCAGTCTAGTTGCGGAGGACGCCACTTCACTGGCCCATGTTTGTGTTATCATTGTGCTCTTCTCCGGATGAGACAGTCGCTGGCCGGCCATTGGATGGCTGCTCACGGCAGCTCACGAAAGCTCATGCCTGCTGCTGGCCAGTCCTACTGCAGCCTACGCCATCGCCGGCGACTCACTCCAGGTAGAGTTGTTCACCGTCTTAGCTGTAGAGGGCACAGCGTAACTGGCCCTCATGTGGGATCTGAACCGGGGCCCTGCTGCTCAGAGCTGGAGTTCCAAGCCAACTCCTAACCAACGCGCCACTCGGCCGGCCCTCATCTATTTTTTAATTGGGTTGTCTTATTGTTGAGTTGTATAAGTTCTTTATATATTGTGATATAAATTATTTGTTAGATATATGTATTGGAAATACTTTTTACTTGTGTATGGCTTACCTTTTCATTTTCTTAATGTCTTTTGAAGACCATAAATTTTTTAATTTGATAAGGTTCAGTTTTTCCTTTCTATTGTATCCTAAGAAATATCTGCCTAACCCAAAGCCTAAAGATTTTCTCCTAAAAAACTTATAGCTTAGCTTATTCATTTTGAGTTAATTTTGTATATAGTGTGATGTAATAGTCGAGGTTCATTTTATTCCAAGTAGATTTTCAATTGTCCCGGCACCATTTGTAAGAACAATCCTTTCCCTCATTGAATTGTCTTGGCATCACTGAAAAATCAGTTAACCATACATTTGTGGGTCTACTTCTGGAATCTCTATTCTGTTCCGTTGATCTATGATCTATTTCTTTAGGCCAATTAGCATAGGTTTATAATAAGTCTTGAAGTCATGAACTTTAAGTCTCCATATTTGTTCTCTTTCAAAATTATTTAGTTATTTTAAATCCTTTGTATTTCTGTACAAATTTTATAATTGACTTACCAATTTCTAAAAAAAAAGCCTTCTGGGATTTTGACTGAGACTGAATTGAATCTATGCATCAATTTGGAGAGACGTGACATCTTAATAATATTGAGCACTGCAAACAAAAACATGGTATATCTCTCCATTTACTTAGGCATTCTTTAGTTTTCTCAATGGTGTTTTGTTGCTTTTAGTAAGCAGATATTTAGTTTTTATCAGAATTATCCTGAAAAGTTTCATGGTTTTGGAAGCTATCACAAATAGTATTGAGTTATTAATTTTATTTTCCTTCTTCCTCATATATAGAAAACAGTGGATTTTCTATATTGGCTATACTTGTATACCCTGCAGTCTTACTAAAACTCACGTTTTAGTCCTACTAGCTTTTTAATAGATTTCTTATGATTTTCTACATACATAATCAGGTCATCTGTGAAAAAAAATTTTTTTTCTTCTTTTTAAATCTCTGTGCCTTTTATTGTATTATTGCACTGGCTATAACCTCCAGTGCATTGTTAAATACACGTGTTGAGAGATGATATCCTTGTCTTGTTCCTGTTCTTAGTGGAAAGCATTCAATTTTTCAACATTGAGTATAATGTTAGCTGTAGATTTTTGTAAGTGCCCTTTATCACAATGAGAAGTCACCATCTATTTCTAGTTTTCTCAGTTCACGTTTTTTCTCTTTTTTTAACCAGGTGTTGAAATTTGTCAAGGTCTTTGTCTGTATCCATTAAAATGATCATATGGTTTTCCTCTTCTATTCTATTAATATAAAGAATTCCATTGTGTGATTTTTGAATGTTTAACTAACTTGCATTCCTGGCATAAATTACACTTGGGCATAATATATTGTGCTTTTTCTATGTGGCTGGGTTTTATTTGCCAATCTCTTCTTGAGTAGTTTTGCAACAATGTATATGAGGGGGCTGCTCTGTAGTTTTCTTTTCTTGTTAGGTCTTAGTCTAGTTAGGGTATTTGGGTAATACTGGGCTGACAGTACTGATTAAGTTTTTTATTATGCTGCTTACACACTGTGGCTGTTCCAAAATCCAACCACACTGCTTCTCAGAAGTTTTGCACGCTCGTTCTCTATTCTCTCTTTCATTGTACTTATCACTTTTACACACACACACACACACACACACACACACACACACACACACACACACACACCCCTACCTATATATCACCACTCACATCTGTCTTTTATCAAAATTGTACACTCAGTGACCAGCAATCTGGCAGGATGATTGATCTCAACAACTACTCGTTTAAAAACTGACTGACAGAGGAATGAATACTAGTAAGAGGCAGAATGGTGCAAAGCAAAGAGTGTGGGCTTTGGAATCAAACAGTCACAGGTTCAAATCCTGGCTCTTACAACTGTGAAATTTATTTAAAATCTGAAAATGTGAATTTGTTTAAAAATAGAAATAATGTAATATACTTTATTGAGATGTTTCAGGCATAAGAATGAACCAACCAAAGCATGAAAGTGTCTTGCATTAAATAGTGGCTTAATAAATAGTTATTCTTACTCTTGTTCTCTCAATACCAAAATAATATAGGAAATCTTTTCATAAGACTCCTATATTTTCACAAAGAAAGCACAGAAGCCTCCAGAATTCCTTTATATGTAATAAACTCCTGAAGACTCTGTTTAAGAACAAAAACAAATGTATAATAATGTCACAATTTAATTATCTCGAAGCCTTACTGAAAATTATAACTGAAAGTAACTGAGAGAACTGAGGATGTTTTGGCTTTTCTTTTGTGAGCTAGATTCTCATGACTCTTTACTATGTACATTAATTGCTTAAAAATAAATTCCAAATTTCCAGAAACAAGTTGAACTCCTAAAGTTTACAATTTTCTTAGCCTACTTAGCATTACCTTCAAAGAGAATTGATAGATGGGGTTGATTTTTCTGAGGTCGTTAATAACAAAATAAAGAAGAGATGCTCTTGCTGCCACTGGTCGGTAACATTCTCGGGCTTCGTTGATTTTCTTTTCATTTTCTTTAGCTTCAATTACCTATGGTGGGATCAAACAACATGAGTAACTTACTATTCATGTCCTCTATACTTATCCAAGTGACAGAAGGGACATATCTAAAATGAGAAATTATTAGTATTAAAACAGGTACCATATGGCATCTATGTGCTTGAGCTGTTCTAAAATTATTAAATTCATATTTAAAACAATTGTAATTTTATATTTTTTATGATTAAAATATATTTAAATAATAAACATTTAAAATAATATTTTTCATAAACTGAGTTTTCAGTGAGAATGGCTGTAACTTGAACCATTTTACAGTTACAGATGAAACAAACCTGACTGAGAATTTATTCTGAGTAATGTCACCTTCCTGCCTCCCCTCTCTCTTTCAGGGGTTAATAACCCGGCTCGATCACTTCCCAGGGATAGCTCTTAAAAGTCTGCTGGGTCAGTTCAATGCCAATAGCTTATTAGTCAACAAGGTATACAAAAGCAGCCAAGGTCAATAATATATCCCAAAGCCATGCTTATTAGAAAGCCTTTATATGAAGACTCTCATGACAGTCTTATTCTGACTTTGCACCAGATCATCCATATGTTCACATATTTCCATTTAATATACCATTATGTATTAGCCTCTGGGTACATTCAGAGAGATACTTTTTTTTGTAATAAAAAACCCACTATCAACCAACATATTCCATTTTATTCAAGGCTCCAATATCTATTCTTTTATCTGGGACTACTGCTGGTCCTATAGCTTTATAAGACAGTATTTTTCCAACCTTTTTTTTTATAGACTTGATCTATCATATTTGTGTATAAAAGGAAATAAAGAAAATGTAGACCAGAGAGGGAAGTCCCTACGTGGCAATATATTAAGATAGGAAGAGATATTTTAAGAGACAATTAGAAGTTAATTTGAAAGCTAAGACCTAATTTACTTAATTGCTCTAAAATTTACCATCTCAGGAGCCACCTAGAATTCCCTTTAAGTAAAAAGGAGAAAGTAATTTGGGATTCCATTTCCTTGCTTAAGACAAATATATTGGATGTGTGGTGACACAGCCTCTGCTGGGTAATTAATAGATTATTTAGTAATGAGGATATTCCAGAAAGCAAGTAAGGGTCCCTTTCCTTTTCAAACAATGGATTTTAAGGGTTAATGGCCACTTGTGAGAATCCAAAGAGCAAACCATGCATACAGCATATTGTAACACATGTCAGATGTTCAGCAGGAAGTCTATGCAATGAAAAATCTCACTGGCTTTCAGGAAATGTCATTTTACCAGGGTGAATAAAGCATTTGCGTACAGCAGGAGCCCATCCCTGGCTCAGTCTCCCAACATTGAAGGCCTGTAAACAAAACTTCAGCTCTAAGTGTTTCTCTAAAATGTACAACAGACTAGGAAACCTGGAGTGAGGCTGTACGATGTCAGTTTGCCAGAGCTGGATGCTAGGCCTTTTTAGATTTTAGACCACACAAGCCAGCAGGCCCCAGTTTCCTTCAAATTTGGTCACAGAGAAAAAATAATCGCCTGACAGGGTCTAATTTGAATGACTGGATCTCTGCTGAATTAGGAGAAGCACAAGTTCAGCCACTTCTATCTCCATTCAGAACCCCACACAGTCCAATTTTTTTAATTTTTTAATTTTATTTTTATTAGTTTTGGGCGTGCAACACACAGTCCAATTTTTAAGGGCAGTTTATTAGAAGACCTGAGTTCCACAGTAAGTGAGTCCTCTTAGAAATTACCAAATTTGAGTGTACATTCATCCAAGCATGTCATTCAAACAGAGCATTGAAACAAACACTGCTGGTGTCCTTGCTTTTTCCTACCTTGTGCTCTATCTCTGCGGCGGTCGTCTTTGTCATCTCCAATCTCTCCACCAGTTTGGTGTCATCTAAAAAGCTCCCTTCTGCTGCAGCAAGGCGCAGGAGGAGGTCATCCTCAAGGTACTTCAGCTCTATCTTGAAGTCATTTTGGTGCTTTGTCAAAACCAGCTAACACAAACCAAAAACAGTTTGAGAAATGGTGTTTAAATTCATGCTTTTAAGCAGAGCTTCCTTCATTGTCAATTTCATGGAATCATGGAATCATATATGTATATGTATATATATTATATATGTATAAAATATATATACATACAATATACCGGGGGGAGAGGCGACAAAAAAATGTACACATTTTAAGAGACGTTATCTACGTATTACTTTTCAAAGTTGAATTGAATTATGGTAGCAATGTATAGTATGACTCGCTCAAAAGGTGGCATTAATCAAATGAATAGTAGCGTCATTCATTCATTACAATTTTAATACATTTTTTTTCCTTTCTTAAAATGTGTATACTTTTTTGGGCACCATCTGTATATATAGTAAAACACACTTAATATTAAAACTGTACTAATCATAACTTTTAAAAATTCTTTAAAAAATTCAGAAGGCATGTTAAGATCTGGTTGCACTCCAGAGTCCAGAGTAAGAACATCTATCATAATTATTCAACATAATGAATTAATAGGAAAAAAATCTATTCTATAGGAATAAATTTCTGGTTTCTTCTTTGAATCTAAAGAGTTTGACGTCATCATTTCTATCCTCACAGCAGAAAAAAAGCTAATCAACAACTCTTCTTAGGTCTATCAGAGAACTGAAGTCACAAGGCAAACTGCCACCCTGAAAACTGGAGAGATGAGTGAATACAGACAAGCACAGCTAATTGGGAGCATCTAAGTAGTAATTGGCGAATCGCTGGAGGCAGAGCTTGAGAGTTAAGAACTCCTGGGAGGCCAGTCTTAGGGAGCCTGCCATATTTTTGTCAGTTGACCTCCAGGAAACTCACCAGTTTCTCACAGTGAAGACAGAAAAAAATCTCTTCCTGCTTTGGGGAGGGGAAGGGGGAAAACAATTTTGAAATATGTCCAGAGGAGAGCAACCATTTAAAATATGTCAAGAGCTTTCTGTTCTCTTAACGAAACTCTGCCTTCCAGGGGAGTTACTTTACCAGAGCCTTTCCTGATCTCCGGGGAAGGGTGATGCGATAACTCAGCCTCCTCTAGAATTCCTTTCTCACACAGGAGAGGTAGACATAAATGATAAGAAACTATTCTGAAGGTCAAAGGCCAATGACTAGGCCCACTAGAAAACACTGAGATTTAATCATAAGATTATAGAATGCTTCCCATCATAATACCTTACGTACCACCACGTCACCAGACTCCAGTATAATGACAGTGCATTACAACTGAAAGAGCTGCAAGACAGACTCTATCTAAACAGGAGTTTCTATCCAAAGACACAGGGGAGACAAAAACAAGAATATCAGAGGCTGAAGCCTAGGACATCAACAGCAATAACAAGCATCACACACAGCTCAGCTCCTAGCCAAATAAACATAAAACCTCACACGAAAGCTCTATTTAGCTCAGTTGAAATTATTCAATACATCATGTCTGGCTTTTGCTGAAAAGCAAAAAACACAGTATGAAGAGATAAAGCAAACCTCAGAACCAAATTCAAGTATGGCAGAGATTTTGGAATTATCAGACTGGGAATTAAAAATAATTATGCTCAATATGCTAAGGGCTGCAATGGAAAAAGTGAACAACATGTAAGACCATGTGGGCAATGTAAGAAAGAATCAAAAGGAAATGCTAGAAATAAAAAAAACACTGTAACAGAAATGAAGACTGCCTTTGATGGGCTCATGAGAAGGCTGAACACGGACAACGAAAGAATCAGTGCATGAAGATACATATGTCGACAGAAACTTCTCAAACTGAAAAGCAAAGAGAAAAAGAATGGGGGTAAAAAAGGAAAAGAATATCCAAGGACTGTTGAGCAATTAGAAAAAACTATAACATACTCAAATGGGAATACCTGAAAGAGAAGAAAGAGAAAAAGGAGCAGAAAAAATACTGAAGGTAATAATGGCTAAGAATTTTCCAAAATTAATGACATTCACCAAACCACAGATTCAAGAAGCTCACAGCATACTGAGCAGGATAAATAACAAAAAATCTACACCCAGGCAGAAAATCAAATCAAAGCAAAAATCTTGAAAGAAGCCACAGGAAAAAAAACACCTCATTTATTGAAGAAAAGGATAAGAATTACATGGAACTTCTCCTGAGAAATCATGTAAGCAAGGAAAGAGTAAAATATTTAAAATACTGATGGGAAAAACCCCACCAACCTAGAATTCTGCATCCTGCCAAATTATCCTTCAAACCTGAAGGAGAAATATAGACTTTTTCAGACAAAAACTAAGGGATTTGTCACTAGTAAACCTATCTTACAAGAAATGTGTAGGAGAGGACCAACCAAGTGGCTTGTTGGTTAAGAGTTGGCTTGGGAGCGTGAGCTCTTAGCAGCAGGGCCACTGATTCGGATCCCACATGAGCCAGTGAGCTGCGCCCTCTACAGCTAAGATGGTGAACAACAGCTCGACCTGGAGCTGAGCTGCTATGAGTCGCCGGCGATGGCATGGGCTGCAGTGGGGCTGCAGTGGGCTGCCGTAAGCTACCATGAGTGGCCAGCAGGAGCGTGAGCTGCTGTGAGCGGCAGTCCAATGGCCAATGAGCAACTGCCTCACCCGGGAAGAGTGCAATGATCACGGTACCAACATGGGCCAATGAAGCAACGTTCTCCACAACTAGACTGAAGAACAAAAGGACAGCAACTTGTCTGTTCCCCTTCCCCTATTCCCCAATAAAATCTTTAAAAAAAAAAAGAAAGAAAGAGATGTGTAGAAGGAAAATGATATAGGTTAGAAACTTGGATATACATATATAAAGAAAGAAAGAAGGTCAGAAAGGAATAAATGAAAGTAAAATATTTTATTTTTTTTACTCTTAATTGAGATAATTGTACAAAATAATAAAGGCAACAATGTATTCAGTGATTATAACTTATGATAAATGAAATGAATGACAACAATGTTATAAGGGATGGGAGGGAATAAATGAGAATATTCTGTTAAAAGGTACCTGAACGGGCCGGCTGAGTGGCTCAGTTGGTTAAGAGCTCGCTCAAGAGTTTGAGCTCTGAGCAACAGCGGTTCGAGTCAGCCCGAGCTGAGTAGCCGTGAGCTGCCAACAGGTGGCGGGATGGCTCAGCTAAAAAAAAAAAAAATAAAAAATAAAAAAAAATAAAATAAAATAAAATAAAAGGAGCATTTCAAAGGCTTCNAGCGGTTCGAGTCAGCCCGAGCTGAGTAGCCGTGAGCTGCCAACAGGTGGCGGGATGGCTCAGCTAAAAAAAAAAAAAAAAGGTACCTGAACTACCTATGAGGCAGTACAGTATTCCTTGAAAGTGGGCTTAGATTAGTTGAAATGTTACAGCAAATGTTAAGGACACTGCTAAATTTTTTTTTAAAAGAAGTATAATTTATATGCTAAGAGAGGATAGGTACCAGAATCATATAAAATGATCAATTAAAAGGAAAAGCCAAAAAAGGCGGGGAGGAGGGCAAGGAGTAAGTGCAGTCAATAAAAAACAATGATGAATACCGTAGACATTAATCCAACTATATCAATAATCTCTTTAAATGTCGATTGTCTAAATTTATTAATTAAAAGACAGAGACTGAACAGTGGATAAAAAAACAAGAACCAACTATCTGTTAGCTATAATAAAATCCATATTAAATCTATAGACAGGTTAAAGGTGGAGAGATGGAGAAAGATACACCACGCTAATGCAAATCAAAAGAAAGCTCTGCAGTAGCTATATTGCTTTCAGACAAAGTAGGCATGAGAACAGGAAAAATTACTGGGAGCAAAGAGAAGCATTATATAATGATAAAGGTATCAATTCTCCAAGAAAATGTAACAATCCTTAATGTGTATGTGTCTAACAGAAGAGTGTCAAAATACATGAGGCAGAAACTGATAGAATTGCAAGAAGTAGACAAATCTGCTATTATTGCTGGAGAATGCAAAACTCCTGTATCCATAATTAATAGGTCTACCAGGCAGAAAATCAGTAATGACACAGCTAAAACAAACAGCACCATCCATAACTGAATGTTATTGACATTTATAGAATACTTTATCCAATAACAGCAGAATACATATTTTTTCAAGCTCACATGGAATATTCACAAGATAGACTGACTTCTGGGTCATAAAACACACCTTAAAAAGTTTAAAAGTATAGAAATACAAAGTATATTCTCAGACCACAAGCGAAATTAAATAAGGAATACCAGAAAGATAGCTGGGGGAAAAAAAATCCCCAAATATTTGGAGATTAAACAAGAGACTTCTAAATAACACACAGGTCAAAGAAGAAGTCTCAAGAGAATTCAAAAATATTTTGAAATAAATATAAATGAAAATACAACTTATCAAAAATGTGAGATGCAGCAAAAGTCGTGTTTAGAGGAAAATTTATAGCATTAAACACATGTATTTAGAAAAGGAGAAAAATCTAAAATTTCTAAGTTTTCACCTTAAGAAACTACTGAAAGAAGAGCAATATAAACTTAAAGCAAGCACAGGAAAACAAACAATAAAAATTAGAGCTGAAATCAATAAAATTTAAAACAGGAAACCAATGGAAAAAATTCAACAAACCAAAAGTTGGTTCTTTACAGGATCAATAAATTTTATAACCCTTTAGCCAGGTTAACCACGAAAAAAGGAGAGAAGGCACAAATTACTGTCAGAAATAAAAGAGGGGTCATTACTACTGATTCCATGGGCATTAAAGAATAAAAGAATATTATGAACAATTTTATGCCCACAAATTTGACTACTTAAAGTAGGCCATTTGCTTGGCATACACATCTATCAAAAAGTCAAACAAAGAAAAACAGATAATCTAAATAGTCCAGTATTTATTTTAAAACTTGAAGTGACAATAATCTTCTGAAAAAGAACACAACTGGCTGAGATAATTTCACTGATGAGCCCTACCAAATATTTAAGGAAAAAAGGATAACAATTCCTCACAATTCTTCCAGAAAAAAGGAGCAAAGGGAATATTTCCTAACTCATTCTAGGAGGTCAGCATTATCCTAATACCAAAACCAGATAAAGCCATTACAAGAAAGAAAAACTAAATGCTAATATTTCTCATGAGTATAGACATAAAAATTTTCCACAAAATATTAGCAAATCAAATCAATAATGTGTAAAAAAATTATATACCATACCAAGTAGGATTTATCCCAGGTATGCAAGGCTGGTTCAACATTCAAAAGTCAAGTAATGCCATCCATTGCATCAATAGGCTCAAGAAGAAAAATCATGATATACCAATAGATACAGAAATTTGACAAAATCCAACACTCATTCATGATAGAAACTCTCAGTGAGGTAAAAGGGAGCTTCTTCCACTTGATAAAGAACATCTAAAAATGAAGCCTATAAGGGCCGGCTGAGTGGCTCAGTTGGTTAAGAGCTCGCTCAAGAGTTTGAGCTCTGAGCAACAGCGGTTCGAGTCAGCCCGAGCTGAGCAGTCGCTGAGCTGCCAACAGGTGGCAGGATGGCTCATCTAAAAAATAAAATAAAATAAAATAAAAATGAAGCCTATAGCTAACATCATATTTAATGGTGAGAAACTAGATGCTTTCCCTTCAATATCGGAAATAGCAGAAATATCGCGTTTCACCACTTCTACTCAACATTTTACTGGAAGTCCTAACTAATGCAATAAGACGCAGAAAAGAAATAAAAGGTATACAGAATGGGGAAGAAGAAATGAACAGTCTTTGTTCACACATGACACAATTGTCTTTGTAGAAATTCCCAAAGAATCAACATAAGAACTCCTAACTAATCAGAAATTATAACAAGGCTACAAGATACAAGGTTAATATTCAAAAGTCAATTGCTTTTCTATGTACCAGCAATTAACAATCGAAATCTGAAATTTAAAACACAGTACCACTTACATGAGCACCAAAAATTGAATTATACTTTGGTATAAATCTAAGAAATTATGTTGATCATCTATGTGAAGAACTCTGATATTCTGATGAAACAAATCAAAGATCTGAAAAAAACAGAGATGTTTCATATGCATGATAGGAAAACTCAATACTGTTAAGGTATTATGTCTTCTTGTCTGGTATTCAACACAATATCAATCAAAATTCCAGCACATTATTTTGTGGATATTGACGAACTGATTCTAGCATTTACATGGAAAGATATTAAGATCCAGAAGAGCTAACAGTATACAGAAGAACAGTCAGAGGACTGACATTACCGTTGCTATAAAGCTACACTAATCTAGAAGGCATGGTATTGATGAAAGAAGAGACAAATAAATTTACAGAAATATAGTCAATTGATCTTTCACAAGGAACAAAGGCAATTCAAAGGAGAAAGGGATAGTCTTTTCAACAAATGGTGTTAGACAACTGGATATCCACATACAAAAGAATGAAGTTAGATCTCTACCTCACACTATATACAAAAGTTAACTCAAAATGGGGATGGCTGGTTAGCTCAGGTGGTTAGAGCGCAGGGCGCAGTGCTCATAACACCAAAGTTGCCGGTTCAATTCCCACATGGGCCACTGAGGTGTGCCCTCCACAACTAGACTGAAAACAACTACTTGACTTGGAGCTAATGGGTCTTGGAAAAACACATTGTTCTTCTTCCCCAATAAAAAAATCTTAAAAAAATAAAAGTTAACTCAAAATGGATCACAGACCTCATTTAAGAGGTAAAACTATAAAATTTCTAGAAGAAAACATAGGAGCAAATCTTCTATGGAGAAAGAAATGTTGATAGGAGGCAAAATGTTGAGAATTATTGAAGCTGGATAATGATCACACAGGCCTTTATAACTATATTTATTACTTTCATATGTTTGAAATTTTCATTATCGAAAGTAAAATCACAAAAATTAACCAAACTATTGAGCCTTTTGGAAAAAAGAAAAAAAAATGTGTAAGTATGTTACCCTGACAAGACTATTTTCTTACATGGTCATATGGTGTCTCAAATTGGGACATGGTCCTTGTGACCTGGGAATTTGCATTTAAAGAAGTTCCCATCTGATGCTACTGTTCCAGGAACCACCATTTGAAAACCATTGATTTACACCAGGAATGGCACACTTTCCATAAAGGGCCAGATAGTAAATATTTCTTGCTTTGTAGGCCACAAAGTTGCAAATAACTGTGCCACTACATTCTTCCTATGTTTTCAGTCGTACTCTGTTGTTTTCTGTATTCAACATTGAATTTAATTATTTTCAGTATTTTTTTCTTATTCAATGGACTGAAAGCCATAAATTTTCCTTTAAGTGATAGTCATAACCAGCGACTGCCCCTAAATTTTTCTAGTCATACTCCATTACTCTTTCTCATTCTTTTGCCCTGGCTGAATTGGTTATATTCATCCAACCCACAAAGGAATACACCTGCAGAAACACATGCCTCTGTTTCCCAAGATATTATGCCCCTTTGCTTGTCTTAGTCACCTGCATCAAACTAAATGTAGGGCCAGGCCATCTCCTACCTGTGGCACAACTCTACCTCCCTTCTCAGGAGTACCCTTGAATTGTTTAACTATTCAAATATATCCTCATTTTTCTCATTAGCTTGCAAGATCCTGGAGGGCAGGAAGTCCTCCTGTCTTATACATGTGTGCCTGGCACTATAATTTGTTCAAAGCAGGTGCTGAATAAGTGTTGGTGGGTGGCTTCATAATTTTTACCTTAAGCTTCTCCAAATCTGGCCTTTCAATACTGACCACCTCTGCCAGCAGCTGGGCTTCTAGACCATCTTCTGTGACCGTGAAATTCAGGAGGGTTGTCTGAGCTTGTAATTCTGGCTTATAGTGAGGATTTGCCAGTTTTGTGTGAAGGATAAGACGAAAGTTCTTATTAAATTCACATTCTTTATCTCCAATCCTGATATACCTGAAGGGGACATAACACAGACATTCAGTCATTTCCTCTGAACCATAACTGATATAAGGTGTCATTCCATTCCTGTATGCTGATAATATATCTTGGCTGTAAGATCAGGTGATTCAGGGTTTTTCAGCTACTCTCGGGTTCCCTAAAGTACAGGAAGAATAGGATATCCACTAAACCTCTAAATGATTAAGTTTCCTCATATATAAAATGGTGATAATAGTAGTTAGTACTCACCTCACAGTGTTACTGTAAAAAATTAAATACATTGAATCATATAAAGCACCTAAAACAACAAATGTTAGCATCTATTATACTTTCTGTGATCAGCCTATTAAATATTGTTATTGTTGAAGCATAAAATGACTATGTATGTGTTATGTATTTGTGTACAAGTGTACATATATATATATATATATATATATATATATAAAATGTATATATATAAAACATACATGCATACTTAAAATTACTTTCCAATGTTTCTGGCACTGGCTCAAAAGCAAAGTTTAAGAATCCTCCTTGTGGATCATATGCCCATGGCCACCGGGAAACAGAAGTGAGCACTTCACCCAAGCTGTACCAATCAGAGTAGCCTTTTCTGGGATTTGGGATTGGGGCAGAGAGAAGGGAAAGTTGCAACCAGAACCTAAAAGCTTGTGTTGAAGTCACTCTGTCCTCCTGGTGAAACAAGCAGCAGAGAAAGACACTCCGGCTTTCCCGAGGAAGAATATTTAAAGCAACATTCAGATGGAAGAACAACACAAAGGAAACATGTTCTGGGTTTTAAGGACTTCCAGGTCCTATCTTCCTTGAAGCCTGGCTGCATTTTCACCTCCATTACCATGACAACCTACAGCCTTGTAACACGGTCTCTGTGTTGCTTGAGCTAGATGGAGGTGGCTGCTGTAATTACAAGCAAAGCTCTGAATGAATGTAGCCTCTCCCTGAGGTGATGGCCTGATTTTTTTTTCTCTATCTCCGATGCTGGGATCTAACTTCTAGGACTTTATCACCGGGGCTCCGATGACCTCTCGGTTTTTCTGGATGGCCTTAGCCAATGGACGTACTGACCAGAAATCAGGTGCACAGGAGGAGAGAGAGTTCAAGGCCGAGCTTCCCTGCATCAGCATTGTGGTCAAGTGGGGCTTGTGTCCAGCTGTCTGCCAGGAACCTGCTATGAGGATCCAGTAAAGGGGAATTTTTAAATTCATGCATCAGACAGACAGAAACCACAAATACCGAAACTTCTCAAACTCTTCCGTCAAAGTGGCCTGAACTGCGTAGGAGTGAGAATTCATATAAGAAACCTAGAGGCGTGGCTGAAGCAAGGAGTGTCTTCTCAGTTTGCCATTTTATCTTAAATACTCACAAAAATTCTGGATTCTTCCCTATTCAGTGTAGAAATTCTTTTAATTATAGAAGTATCAGCATAATGATGATAAAATGTTATCCAAAGTCCATAATATTTTTATTTTAAATATATTTTATATAACCATAAGGAAAAAAATACTGCTTATCTCACTGACTTACAGGTGAGATGTTATTTTACTAAGTTTATCAATTTTGGAAAATTGGATACATTCAAAAGAAAGACATTATATAATAAGTTCAGCATTCAGGCAATGTTCCTTTTTATTAAAATATCACAATATTTGCAACAATTTTTTTTTTAACTTGAGGAGAGATACCCTGAATGCCATATGTGGCAATATTTTAGGTTGCTGTTGGTGGATGTTTTATAACTGTGTCTTGCCCTGAGATTAAGTCTCTTGTGTGATGTGGTGAGAAAAGGGCTTCTGATCCACTGGCCACTCTATTTGACTGGAGAAATTTTTATGAAACAATTGGTTATATTGAGTAAATATTGTTAAAAAATCATAATTTTCTTAAATCACTAAAGGTTTAATCACTAAATCAAATCAACAAAGATTTTATCACTATAGCTACCAATCTCTAAAGATTGATGAGATTCATGACCTTTTGTCTTCAAACCCAACTCTCGAATTTTGTTCCTATTGTGGTGATCTTATATTAGCAACAAAAGCTTTCACATGCTTGAAAAAGATCTGCCAAAAAAACTACCATGGGAGATACTCTTTACTATAATAAATTAAATGGTGAATCCATTCTTGTTATTTAGTTTTGGTTGGTGTTTACTTTGTCAGGACTTCGTGTTTAATTTTTTTTCCAGAATGAAAATAAGCAATTCAGATAGTAAACCTCTTCTAAGCAGTAGATATCTGTATAATACATACTTCGCTTAAAAAAAAATTAAAAGTATGAGTATTCACATCGCTGTTAAAAAAAAACACAGAATATCAAGAAATGAATGAACCACAGGCCAATTGTTGTAAGTGAACCAGGCAGTGGTTGCTAGTGTATCCGCTGAACACAGTGGCCCTGAGGCCTTGCTTCACAGGTCAAGGATCTGCCACTATCTGTTCACACATTTGCATGTATTCTCCAGTTGATACCATGTTCATTAAATGATCATGTATCCTACCGATAATTTCTTCAATTATTTGTTTTTATCATGAAACACATTGCAACCAACAACTCATTCACTCAACAAGCACTTCCTGAACACTTACAGTGTGCCAGGCTGTCAGAGAAGTCTTGTAGGCACTCGGCATAGAACCATTACCAAGGCAAGCGTAGTCTCCGCTGTCACAAACATTATTACTTACTGTCTCATAATAGGCATTGTGGGTATCAAATTTTACATACTGATTCATCCATTCTTTTATTTGGTCAATAAATAAATATATATTAAGTGCCTACAATGTGACAGGCATATAAAGATCAAAAGTCTGCCCAATTAAAAGATAAGCAGAGGATCTGAATAGACATTTCTCCAAAGAAGATATACAAATGGCCAATAAGCACCTGAAAATATGCTCAACATCATTAGTCATCAAAGAAATGCAAATCAAAGCCACAGTGAGGTACCACTTCATACCTACTAGATGCCTATAATAAAAAACCCCACAGACAATAATAAGTGTTGGTAAGGATGGAAAGAAATTAGACCTCTCATACACTGCTAGAGAGAATGTAAAATGGCGCAACCATTTCGGAAAATAGTTTCGTAGTTTCTCATAATCTTAAACATAAAGTTACCACTTAACCCAGCAATTCTACTTCTAGGCACGTACCCAAAAGAATGGAAAACATACATCCACATGGAATTTGTACACGAATGTTCGTAGCAGAATTATATAATAGCGAAAAGGTGGAAACCACCCACATGTCTGTAAACTCATGAATGGATAAACAAACTGTGGTATATCCAAACAATGGAATATCATTCAGGCATAAAAAGAAACTGGTATGCCTGCTACATGGATGAGCCTTAAAAACATTATGCCAAGTGAAAGAAACCCATCACAGAAGACCACATATATGTATGGTTCTATTTATAGGAAATGTCCAGAATAGGCAAATCAATAGAGACAGAAAGTATATTAGTGGTTGCTTAGGAGCTTTAATTCTAAAATTGATTGTGGTAATGGCTGCCCAATGCTGTGAATATACTAAAAACCATTGAATTGTTCACTGTAAATGATTAAATTGAATGCATGTGAATTATAGCTCAGTAATGATGCCACCAAAAAAGAAAAAAAGAGGACAAAAAGAGAACAATCTACTGAGAGGTCAATCAATAACATTTGGACTTTTATCAATTGATATGGTAATTAACCAAGCTAACTGTAGTTTCTCAGGGGTTCATGCTTGACTTTTGGGCATCATGAAGTTTTTCACAGGATGGTATTTGATAAGAACACTTTTTTTTAGTGAACCTTCTTCTTTTTGACTGAAGACATATTCAATCATATCTATATTGGTAGTATCATCAAAATATCTCCCATTAGTTGAGTTTTCCTTTCTAAGTGTTTCCAAAATTGATTGTACAGCTAAGCTTTGAGAAAAATCTTCCCTTGCTAGCACTATTCACTGTATTACTGTTGGCCTAGATGTCGAAATTTGCATGATTGGCTTTTAAAGGAAATTTCAAGAGTGAAGGTTTTGTGTAATTACTACCTGGGGTTCTCACACATAAGAGATACCAAAGTTTATACTCATTTACATCTCCACAATAATTAAACCCATACTCTAAATCAACCTCTGTGTCTTCTGACTTTCTGATCACTGCTCCATCTGAGTATGAATTCATTACTCCCTCAGCCATGTCTCTGAGAAATACCAGGTCTGTCACAGCCCTCCATGATTTCAGGCTGAATTTTCCCTGATCT